GAATCCCATCTACCTATGCCCACACCCTACTCCAGGTGCCCGCCATCAGGAATGCATTCAGGACAAGATCCATCATCTATCCTGATGGCGGAAGGGCAGAAAAGCCTGACATTTTCTTTACCCTACACCCTTGCTTTCAACTGCCTCGGTTTTTCCTCTCTTCTTTTTCCAAACATCTACAATCAGGGCCACGAGAAAGAGTTCTCTCAGCAAACCCACTATTTGCATCTAGCCTCCAAGAAAACTCCAGTGGGATCCTTCACCCCAGATCCTCTTGCTCTTGGTTAGGTTCCTGGTGAGATAATTTTCATGGATGAATTTGATCTCATTTGTATTAATAAACTTTGACGGAACCATTGGGAAGCTGGCTCTTGCCAACTTAATCTTTTGAAATAAATTATGCAGAAATAGAAATCAGTTTCCAGACCTCAGTACAAATTGTCCCACCCGCCCATCTGTGTCTTCTACATTTTCCATGATCAGGCATGCTATTTGGATACAACAAAATGAGTTTCCAAGGTACACCAAAGGTACTTTAATTTCTCTACTTTGTGTTTGTTTTGTTTTGCTTTCTTTTCCTTTCTGCCATTCTTCCTCCTTGCTGAGGCTAATAGAAGCAAGCATGCTCCTAATTATAATGTTTGTGTAAGACCACAGTGGCTGGAGAGAGATTGTCTGCCCTTAGGGTACGCTTGCATCCAATGGGGTAAGACTGAAGAACAAGTTTATGGGTTGGTGAATGTTTTGGAAACTGTCTCCCAAACTGATCTGTATTGTGTATAAAAACAATAATTTTCCAGGCAGAGCTTTTTGTTGTTGTTATTGTTATTTGTCTGTCAAGCTCAGTAGTGGCTCAGCATGAGCCCTGCGTGATAAGAGTAGTTGACAATTGGGATAGAATAGGGACAGGCTCACCTCTGATACGCCGGCTCTGTGGGAGGTTGGGGGGTTTGTGGCACTAACATGATAATCAGAAGTGAAATTGTGTCCATGTGATATGATACTCTCCCCGGGTGAGGCTGGTTTCTTTCTCTTTGAGGGATAAATTAAGCTCTTTATTCTTGTGCTGTTTATTAGCTCTGCCTGACCTGATTTCCCTCACCCAGAATATGGAAACTTGGTGTCTCAAGTTCTCTGGCTGAGGAGTCACCATGTCCCGAAATAAACATTATTTCACGAGTCTTACTTTCTTTGACTTATAGCACTTCGGGACAGAACACGTGGCTGGGGAGGGTAGAAAGAAATGCTGGAGAACTCACTTTCCAGGCTATGTCCCAGCTTCCGAGAGCTTCTGAAGACAGGTTAGAGATTTGATGGTGCAGGTCCGGGTGTCTGACCTAGGACATAATTCGCGATTCCCCCACACATCTAAGCCGACTATCCAGAGAGCTCCTTGGCTCTCCAGGATAGAGGAAACTCAGCAGCCTTGCTTGCCTCAGCCCATCCTCTCTCTCAGCTCTTCATCCTTCTGCGTCTGTGCGAGTGCCTCCCTGTAATCTCCGCAGCACTCTCTCTGGGGGTGCTGTCTTGCTGGGGCGTCTGGATGCTGTCTTGCTTGCTCACCCTTGACCTGGTCCTCTTGGCCTCCCCCGTGTCCTTGGTGGGGATGCTCTTGTGAGCACAATTGTCATCCTAGTGCCCAGACGCCGCTAGGATTTATTACTCCAATTGGCAAGTCACCTCGGCTCATTCTCAAGGTTGTCACTTCACCTGTGTTGTCCCAGGAGGCAGCCACTTGAAGTTCCCTTGGGTCAGCACCATGGTCACACTCAGCCTGGGGAAGTGTCCAGAGACTGTGGCGTGCTGCTAGGGGAGGCGCAGTGGACCAAGGCTTGGGCCCTGGAGCTGTGGCCTGGGCTTTAGCCCATCACTGCTGCTTACTAGCTAGGTGGCCTGGGCAGTTAGCACTCTCTGCCCTGTTTCCTCAACCACAAATGGGCATGACGGCTACGGCTTCTACCTCACAGGGGTGTTGTGAGGATTCAGTGAGTGGATATCGGTCCATCGTATGATAAATCTACGAGACAGGTTAGCAATCATTATGATTCGGCTCTGTGCATGTTACCCAACATTTTCTCCTTCAGTCTAAGTGATTCTTTCTGTTCCCCCAGTAGAGAAACCACCTGCCTTTCCATGGGTGCTGTCTTTAGGGAGCTCCCCCTCTGGGCCAGCTCTGGCCAGGCCCGCAGCCACCAGCCACCAGCGGCTACCGAGCACTTGAGATGTGGCCAGTCTGATGGAAGGCGTGCAGAGCGTGTAAGAGGGACACTGGGAGCTGAGGAAGTGACTGGAAAATACCTCAGAGAGTGATGTTCATCCCAGGTTGACGTGATTGGCTGTGACTAGACTATATTCTGTGAAAGGAAATATATGATTAAATATTAATTTCCTGTTTGCTTGTAATTTTTCTTAATGTGGCAACTAGGAAAAAGGTTGCATGGTGGTGAAATATACATAAGGTCCAATTGACCATTGGAATCATTTCTCGGTGTACAGTTCATGGCGTCTGTTCACACTGCCTGCGTCACCACCACCCACAGCCACATGTTTTCCCTCTTTCCAAACTGAAACTTGGTCCCCAGTGAACACTAACTTCGCATCTTTCCCTCGTCACTATGATTCTACTTCCAGTTGCTGTGAATTTTCCAATTTTAGGTCTCTCCTATAAGTAGAATCACACAGTATCTGTCTTTTTTGTGATTGGCTTATTTTACCGAGCATCATGTCCTCAAGGTTTATTCATGTTGTAACAGGTGGCAGAATTTCACTCCTCTAAAATGCTGAATAACGTTCGTGTGTGTGTGTATGTGTGTGTGTGTGTGTGTGTGTGTGATATCTTTTATTTTTTCCTTGGCATTGAGCTCTTTCTACTTTTTGGTTATTATGACAATGCAGAGAATTTTAAGTGCAAATATGAGGTCCATCATATTTCTATTGGGGATCACTGGGCTAGAGTGTCAATAAATTGCTAAAGGGTGATACTGGGTGGCTTCCCAGAAGTGCCTGTCAACACTGCCCTCGGTTGCCCCGGGTTGGGTCTGTTGCTGAAGCAGCTGGACAGCTACTTGGCTCCTTGGTCACTTTCCCAGGAGTCCCGAATTCTCTCTGCGCTGTTGCTTCTCTTAGGTGCCAATCCTATGTTTGCCTTTATCTGCCCCAACTTTGGTTACTGTGGAAATTCTTCTCAAGAAGGCCTGGCTCTCACTCTAAGTAACCTGGAGTCTCTGGGGGGAAGGTGACAGGTTGGAAGGTTTCTATCTTCCTTCCAGAATCAGGGTACATGGCCTGGACGCTGGTGGGGGCAGGGCTGTGCTTGGGGTGTGAGGCGACAGGGCAGAGTTTTCTCTGCATCTCACGGATATGGAGACACCGTGTAGGATGGTGGCATTTCCCAAGGGCATGAAGCTGGGACGCAAAGGGGACTTCAGAACTGGAACATCTTTTTAGAGGGTAATTCACCCAAAGGGATATATAATTTTTTTTTATGTAAAGCAGCATCACATTGGGGTAAGTTTCTTTGGTTTCTGAAAACACTTTTGAACCCACTTTGGAAGCAATTAAATGTGGTCAGAGCTACGTGGGTCGCTACCATCCTTCATGATTGTGTGGATGAGGACAGAAATAATGATTGGGTTTGACAAATCCCGTTTCAGGGACTTGAGCAAATCCTTTTAGATAAACAAATTTGGCCTCTCCCCCCCCCCCCCCGTAATGTTTCTACTATAGCATGTTTCTCACGAGCTTTGAAATCTTCAAATATTTTTATTTTTCCAGAACCAGTAAAAAATATTTGGGTGTTCTCTCTCTCTCTCCACATGCGAGTGTTCGTGTGTGTATGTGTGTGTCCTACTCCCAAATTGTATCACCAACAAAGCAACAAAACTTTATTATTTTAACAGAGTAAAATAGAATAAATATAATAAAGTTGTTTTATATTACCTTTCTGAGCCTCAGTGGATCTTCCTGCATACATCTGGGATCCTTACTTTATTTATTTTTAAAGATTTATTTATTTTTATGCAAGAGCTGGGGTACAGGCCAGAGGCGTGGGAGGGTGAGAGGATTCACCAGAGAGAGAGAGCGGGGAACAGAACAGGCAGACTGGTGAAACACACTGCTGAGGGGAGCAGCGGGTGAGACAGGGGAGGTCTGCTGTGCCAGGTGGGTAGCTCCCTGGCCAGGGCTCGAACTTGTGGTGCAGTGGCTGCCAATAGCATCATAGAGCTGCATCCTAACCCCTTGTGCCACCAAGTTACTTGTTTTCATTGTATTTCTCAATGTATAAACTCATTTAGCATCATCAGTAATCACCGAATGAAAACTTCCAGGCCGGCAATGTTACAAACAACAAGACATGGAAAATTCCTTCAGATTCTGATGGCAAACACACAAATCATGAGCCCAAGAGGTGGGATCAAGGGTTGGGGGCGATGGGCAATCCCCCACACAGAAGAAAAACATGTGTGCCTAGTTGACATTAATTATCTGTGTGCTTTAGAAATAAGGTCTGCGACTCACCCGGGAACTTTTTCAGATTTTCAGAAGTTTCTGGATGCAGCCCCCCAGCAGGGTGACCTCCCAGTCCTGGACTGGATCTGCTCAGGTGGCGGATACTCAAGTGCAAGGGGCCTTCCTCTACTGTTCCCCCAGTCTCTTTGGGAGATTAGTGTAATTAGAGCCTGTGCTTGTACAGCACTTTGACATTCTCAGATGGAAAGTGCTAGATGAGCGTAAAATTTTATAACTGTAATGGAATCCAAGCAAATAGCATTGTAATAAATGGGTCTTGCTGCTGATACTGCATTTAAAGGTCCTCTCTTTATTATCTCTTGTTTACTCTACGTGATGAACCGAGGTGATTAATAACAATGATAATAATTACTCCTACAGCATTTTATGCTTTCAAAGGGCTTTACAACTTGTTCATTATGTAATCTTTAATCTTTGCTGTTACTGCTGTGCTAAGTCAGTGTTGTTTGTTTGGTTTTTAAATTTTTCAGACACCGAGACATCTGAGGAACAGATAGGGGAGCTGATGCTTGCAGGTTCACACAGCAAGGCAACGTGGAGCTACTAGGTTGTCATTGGAATTTAAGCTATCTGATGAGTTGGTGAAGAGACTGTGATCACAGGGAAAGAAAAAGACGGAGCATACAGGACTAGGCAGCCCATCGCTGTGCTCCAGATATGAGGGAGTGAAGCAAAGGTGTTTGGAAAAGCCAAATGAAGGCTCACCTGACTCAGAATTGGGGTGTAGAGGGTCCCAGCTCTTGTCCCCCGCTCTGTGAGGCCAGGATGCTCCAGCAGAACTTCTGGGGAAGCCTGTGTTCATTCAGCTGTACTTAACACCTGGTCAAGGTGGATCAAGGGTAGTAGGGCTTTATGTGGCAGCTAATTGGGTGCTATAAGGGACAGACCCCCAAATTGTAGTGTCAGCAACTGCATTGCATAATCAGCTGCTCTGAACGCCCACTTGGGGATTGGCCGGCGCTCAGCGACTGCCTAGGTATCTGCGAGACAAGCAGCGTGTCAATTACACCGCGGACGACCAGATTTATGTGCTTTTTGGCAGCGCCGCCGAGCTATTAATCATGTCTCATGAACAGGCCCCATGTAAACCAAAAGCAAATGGCACATCTCATGGACCATCCCAGCAAAAAAATGTCACATTTCCTCTTAAATCTTCTGCTGACATCTCAGCTGCTAAAAACAAGAATGGATACACAGCGGCACAAGCAATCATCAAGTACGACCTACTATTTTTTTCCTTTTTTTTTTTTTTTTTTAAGAAAGACCTACCCATGTTTTCTGAGCTGCAGAGATCGGTTTCCTTGTCAGCATCTGGAAATGACATATTTCACATAAAAATGCAACACTTTCTTTTAATGAGAAAGCGAGGATTTCATGCCTTGCCTTTACTTTTATTACATTGTCGTCTGGATGGGCCATACATGTGGATTTCTTATTACTTGCTAAGCTACATATCTCATGAAGTGCAATACATCTAATGTCATAATTAAATGTCGTCAGGCTAATGTGTATGAGTGTTTGGAGCGTTAGCACTAATTGCTGTGTTAGCATGAATTAGACAGTGAAGTAATTAGAAGCCCAAATGCATCTGTGTCTTGTGGTGCAGTTTAGTGTGGGCTGTGTACGTGTGACCCAGGGTCTGTTCGTGTGAACTGGTCCTCCCCACTTCCCCTTCCTACCTTTCACCTCAAAGAATGTACTAGTCTCCCTTTGCTGTGCAGGAGGCTCTGAAACCATGTTTGGAATGGATGCCGTTGTCTGTAACTGGGATTCCACGTTTCTTTAAATAAGCAATTTTCTGTAATCAGTCAGCAGGGAAAGCTTCACTCTGAAAACCAGAATTAATGGAAGACAGGCTTTAAGGTTTAAAGAAAAAAGGTTTATCTTCAGGACAGATTAGTTGGGATTGGCGTGTGTGTGTGTGTGTGTGTGTGTGTGTGTGTGTGTGTGTGTGTTGAGAGGGGAGTTGTGTTGTGAAGGAGAAACTAGGAAGAGGTTTGTTTTTATCTTGAGATCTTTTCTAATCTTTCCACACTTGTCAAATCCTTAAGATCATCCTGCTGATCATGTGACACCTCTTCCCCTTTCGGCCCCCAGCTCTGAGTTTTGTGCTTATGGGAGCCAGAGGCAAGGCCTATACAAATCATTCCCCGGGCTTCTGCCACCTCCGGTGTCCTAGGGAAGCATAGACACAAGGCCAGGCCTCTCCAGCCTCTGTTCCTGGGGCCCTGGCCTCCCGCTCTGCCCGGGGCCCTCGGTCTCTCTGCAGGCATCGCATACCTCTTCTTGTTGGGGTCTGACTCTATCTCCAGGCAGCTGATTTTAATGCATACTGGAGCCTCGGGGAAAAGTGTAACCTCTGATAACTTTTATCTGCTGGAGCTGGCCGTTACCACCTGCTTGATTTTGCAGGCAATTTTAATTCCCTGCTGCCTGGCAGTTGGGAATCAGAAGCAGTCCTCCGATGGCAGTTACCCCAGAGGCCCTTCCCACAGCCCCGAGATATGCAGTGTGCGCGGCCTGTACCTGCCTCATTCCTCCAGACATTTTTTTTTGTGAGGAATGCACGCATTGGCCCGACTCGCCTCTGAGCAGCTTTTCACCTCGGGTTTAGCTCTTGTCCTGGAAGGACTGGCAGGGCCCGCGCTGTTGTTCCCGCCTCTGCCAGGAACAGGAGAATAAAAAAGATCGTGACTGTCTGACAGTTTTGACAAGCCTTGTCAAATTCCCGCTCCCAGAGGTGCCTCTTGCCCATTAGGAGGCTGATTGCTTACGGGGAGCCTCGTGCATTCCACCAGAGACAAGATCAAGGTCTAATGCACCGTGTACACCCGGCCTCCCATCCCTTGACCAACCCGTTTTGTCAGAACGGCTTGTCAACGAATAGGCCTGGCGTTGGGAGATAAAGTGTTGTCATTTAGAAATAAACGCTGTTATTTCTCTTCCCAATTTGTTACCTCTTTTCCACCTCCTCCCCCCCCACCTCCCCGAGGCTCGAGGCTCGCACACTAACAAAATGCTAAAGCTGCCACGTCCCCCCAACAAGCCTCGAGCTCCACCGGTGTGCACCAGAGCTCCAGCGCGCGTCGGCGGCTTCCTGCTCCTTGCCTTCCTGAGCATCTCCCTCCCAGGCAGTGTGAGGGCTCGTTAGAACAAATCCCAAAATCCACCGTGTATGGATTTGTGTATTTGTGTAGCCCATCTAAAATGGGCAGCAGCAGCTACCCTTAATTCTTCCCTCTTTGCTTGGCCGGTCGTGTTCACACGTCCTTGGGCGTTGGACAATTTCCAATTTAAATCAGATACGCTGGGGCCTCCCCTGGTGGTGCAGCGGTTGAGCGCTGGGCTGTGAAGCTGCCTGCAGCCTCTGCAGCGCTGGTTCGATCCCCGGCTGCTCCCCGGCCACCTGGTGAGGGTCCCACATGGCGCGCAGACCTCTCCTGCCTCGCCCGCTGCTCCCCTCAGCAGTGTACTTCGGTCCTTCTGCCTGCTCTGCTCCCCACTCTGGCTCTGGTGAATCCTCTCACCCTCCCGCGCTTCTGACTGTACCCAGTGCTTGGATAAATGAATAAATAAATAAATCTTTAAAAAATAATAAAAAATAAGTCAGATACGCTTAGCGCAGTGCCGTGAAGTCTTCTTGCCTTGGCTCTTTATCTTTCCGGCCTCGTGTGATGCCTCTATTTGCTCTTGCCCCTTTCAGAGTGCTTACCACTTCATGTGATTATTGACTGTTTTCTTGTCTATATGCTCCATAAAATCACAAATATGGTGGCGCGTCTACCTTGTTCTCTTTAAAAAAAATATGTTTATTTTTTGCATAGAATAACTGGTGGTGAGAGGACTCACCAGAGACAGAGTGGGGAGCACAACAGGAGGATCTACTGAAATACACTGCTGAGGGGAGCAGCGGGAGAGACAGGAGCGGTCTGCTGCGCCATATGTGGGTTATCTCCCTGGCTGGAGATGGAACTCAGGCTGCATTGGTGATAGTGCCGAGACATAACCCCTAGGCCGCAAGGGAGGCCCTATGTTGTTCATCACTGCATGCCATTCAGAAGCACTGGGTTTGGTGTACAAATGATACTCCACAAATATTAGTTGAATGATTGAATGAATGTATGAGCATAAGATATGGTGCCAAGTTGCTGCAGGACTCATCCTGATCTTTAAGTGGTTGAGAAAAAATCCAAGTTAACAAATCTTAAAAATAAATAAATTGTAGAGTGGGAAATTTGCTGCATGAGAGAATAAGGCTAATTTCTATGGGGATGGTGGAAAGGTCACAGGGGATCAGGAAAAGTTTCTTGGAAGATGTAGAGTTTAAATCACATTTTAAGTGTCGCAGGGGAGATTTAGGGTATAGGGAAGAGGGGCAATTATTCACCAGAGGCAGACTACGGGACAGAAAAAGTGGGCTTATCGAAATACACTGCTCAGGGGACCAGTGGGAGAGACTAGAGGGTTCGTCTGAGCAGAGAAACCCCGAGGCTCTATTTACATTCTAGGCATCAGTGATTGGTTAGGGTGACTAGTCTTGATTCCTGATCCAGGTCATTAGCATGATGGCTCAGTTCCCATGGCCATCCCATCCACTCCCTCTGTCCAGTCAAGCCTCAAGATACCACAACATTAAGATTTGGTGGAGTCTTGACAGCCCAAGAAGGGGCAGAACTTGGGGACAAAGGAAAATGTGAGATGTTGGGGTTCAGGTCGTGGAGATCAGTGTGTGGGGTTCTTGGGTTCTTCTGAGAAAGAACTCAGCAGACCTTCCCATCACCACACAGCACGTTCATTAAGGGAAGAAAAGGAGAGAGGACGGCTGGCATAGACGCAGATGGGCAATCTTAAAAGCTAAGAGACGCATTTTTGAACGGGGCGGCTTTAAGAAGGAGACGTCTGCATAGACACAGGCAGTGAGCTGCATTTTGCCAGATGTATTCTTTTTTTTTTTTTTTTTTGCCAAAGTATATTCTTTTATAGTGTTCTTTGATGAAATTATTGTGGAAATTATCTCCTTGAGATAAGTCTTGTGTGATTGATAATCTTCTCTGCCCCCACCCCTGGCTAATAATCTTTTCTAACACTACCTCAGATTCCTGGAAACGTCCATAGCTGGATTTAGTTTAGGATTCATTCATCATCCCTACCTCCACCTCTGGTGTTTGTCCTTGAGAGACCTTCCATCCTAAATTTTTCTACTCTCAGTTCCCACAGTAAGCTCCCTTTGTTAGTTTTGGGCTACCCAGATCAATCACCTGTTACTTTTAGTAAAAGCTCTTGTTTTTCTTCCAGATGTCCGTCTTTTCTGCCCCTCATGGAGTCCAGCAGGGCTGATGCCTTGGAGGTAACTGGGAACCAGGTGTGGACAGTGAGATTCAGGACTAAATATGAAATGAGAGACATTTCATGAAAGAGATAGCAATGGCAAGCATGTACATGAAAATTTCCTCACATTATTAGTCATCGGGAAAATGCAAATTAAAACCAGTGAGATACCATTAGAATGGATAAATAAAGAAGGCAACAAAACCAAATGCTGGTGAGAATGTGGAACAATGGGAACTCTGATACTCTCACACATGGCTGGTGGGAGTACAAAATGCTGCAAACCAGTTTAGGAAAGTGTTGGTGGTTCTTGTCTTCCTCTCTTAGGTATGTACTCAAAAGAAATAAAGACAAGTATGTTCAATAGCTACAAGTATGTTTATTGCA